AGAGATTTTTAGTTATGCCTCAAGTGTTGCGTCTACAGAAGCAATGGCCCTTTACCTTGGTCTTCGACTAGTACGTGATATTGGATGCTCAAAAATCACCGTGGAGTCCGACTGCTTAGAGCTCGTTACCGCTTGCAATGGAGGTTCAGAGATACTGGTGTGACATCCTCGGTTCAATTGTACACTAATCATACATGCAAATGTGTACGATTAAGATCAAGGACTCACGAGAAGATATCACAACACAACTCTAGACACGAATTAAAATAATACAAGCTTTATATTACAAGCCAGGGGCCTCGAGGGCTCGAATACATAAGCTCGAAAACACAAGGGTCAGCGGAAGCAACAATATCTGAGTACAGACATAAGTTAAACAAGTCTGCCTTAAGAAGGCTAGCACAAAAGCAACAACGACCGAAAAGGCAAGGCGTCCTGCCTGGGAGCCTCCTAACTACTCCAGGTCGTCAGCGGCCATCACGTAGTAGTAGGCACCCTCGGGGTAGTAGTAGTCATCAGTGGTGTCGTCTGGTTCCTGGGATCCATCATCTGGTCGCAACAATCGGGTATAGGGGAAAATAGGTAGCAAAGCAACCGTGAGTACTCATCCAAAGTACTCGCAAGACTTACATCAGATCTAAACTAAGTATGCATCTGTATCAAAGGAAATGGGTTGTATCTGTGGACTAAACTGCAGAATGCCAGAAAAGAAGGGGAAAGCCTAGCCTATCAAAGACTAGCATCTTCAAGCATTTTGCAGCATATAGAAGAGTACAGATCAACATAATGTAAAGTAGTAGTAGTGTTATCAACCTCGGCCAGAGATCCTTTCTCGACTCCCTGCGAGAAAGCAATCCCAGAGCCATACTATCCATTTCTCATCTCAAGTATCCAGTTCTAGTTGTATCGATCGGGATACAACTCCAAGTGTCTGTTACTGAAGGACAGGCTATCGATAGATGTTTTCTTCCCTGCAAGGGTGCACCAACTTACCCACCACGCTCGATTAACTCTAGCCAGACACACTTTCCCAGGTCATGCCCGGCCTCGGCCAAACAATACGCCGCAACCCGACCTAGGCTTAATAGAGAGGTCAAGCATGCCGGACTAAACCTATGCCCCCATGGGTCATGGGCCATCGCCCCGGGAACTCCTGCACGTTGCGAACGTGGCCGGTGAGCAGACCTAGCTACCTCCTTCAAAAAGGCAGGTGCTTACCAGTCCAACCCGGCGCACGCCGCTCAATTGCTGACGTCTATTAAGTTTCAGCTGATGCATACGACGCAGAACGCCCATACTATGCCCACGTGATGGTTAGTGCTATCAGGCCAGAGGCCCCTCGGATCAAATATCCAAACCGTTAGTGTGTTGGTAGTGCGGTCACAAGCAGAGACTCACGAAAGATGTGACCCCGTCGCCCCATCTCGAGTACTTGCGACAAGGGCCAAGAATGCTCGGCCACGCCTCGTGTTCAACTCTCAGGTACCCTCTAGGTCAACCCGTCTCCATATCACTTGCGGGTACCCCTCAGGGTCAACCCGCCTTTCTAAGTAACAGTTGTAAAGTCCAAGTATTTGTGTGTCCAAACATCAAGGAGAAAACCCAAGGAATCACCCCCGGTAAATTCCACTCGATGTAATCATCAAGGTGAATGTAAGAGGATCCACCCTCGAGGTTCACACTTGAGGGGTTTCACGACAAAGCCGTATTGGAAGTGGTTAAGGAGGAAATCACCCTCGATGACCATGACCAAATAACTACACTACAGAGGTCTCATCAGGAGTGATGTAAGAGGTTCCACCCTCGGCACTCGATGGTAACTCTGTAGAGTCGTACAACTAGGGGGGTGTTGTGCGGTGTCGGGGCCTGGACGTCGATCACGTTGATCGAGTCATCGAACATAAAGCGGGGCAAGTGGGACAAGGTGGGGGTCACGGATGGATCTCTAACCAACCTATATTAAGCAGTTTAGAATAAGCAGGTAAGGTATGGAAGCAGGTAACAAAAACATTCTATGCATCAGAGTAGGATCATACAGAAAGCAGTAGCAGTTCTAATGCAAGCATGAGAGGGAAAGAAATGGCCGATATCGGAATGCTCAAGGAGGGTTTGCTTGCCTGGTTGCTCATACGAGAAGGAGGGGTCATCGGTGACGTAGTCGATCACAGGGGCATCAGCAACAGTTCCGGGGTCTATCAGAGAGAAGAGGGGGAAGAAACAGTAAATATGAAGTAAACAAAGCATCGCAAAGCATAGCATGGCAATATGATGTGCCGGGTGTGACCTAACGTATGGCTACATGATATAGGTAAAGGGGGAATTCAACCGGGAATGTTTTCCCGATTCTGGACCTGTGTCAGATAGATGACCGGAGGGAGAATGTTCCATGTTCAGATAGTTAGAGGCATCTGATAGGTATGTGGGTAGCGTATTCGGGTTCTTCTTGTCGTTCTGAGCAACTTTCCTGTATAAAGTTTTTCGACCCGGACTATGGTTTATTTTCTATGAATTTCCAAAGATTTAAACAGTTATTTGAAATTCCCTGAAAATTGGCTAAGTCTGAGAAATCCTCAGTTCTAAACATCACTTGGCTGTTTTCCGAAGGCTATAACTGTAGTTCTGTCCATCCTATGGCTTAGTGCCCTTTACCAATTTTTATCACCTTTCCATGATCTACATGACAGTTCCAAGTTCATATATGTTAGTGACCATTTGCCTGTCCAAATCTTCATTTGAAAAGTGCTACTGGATGTCAATTCCAGAATCTGTTTTTCAGTTCTTCCAGTTAACAGAACATATACTTTTTGTCATTTTATAGGAATTAATCTAGGCGACTTTTGAATTTGGTCCAATGGAAAGAATTGAACCCTACCAAGTGTACTACACGCCCATGTAAATTTTATCTCAAACTTGTTTTGCTGCTGTTTTGAGGTTGTTCAGGGGGCTAACCAATGTTGTTTTATAAAAGCTAGCAGCTGCTACAGTAACTGAATGTTGCTGTAGCAGCGCTGCACTAGTAGCAGGCAGCGAGCAACGCAGCAGCGGAGCAGCGAACAGTGGCAGCCGGAGGCTGGCGAGGCCAGAAGCGGAGGCGGCCGGAGGTGGGCACAACCACACTCAACACACACACACACACACACACACACACACACACACACAGCACGGACACACCACACACACTGCACGCACGCACGCACACGGGCATGCCGGCGATCATGACGCTGGCCAGCGGGTGCAGCGCGCGAGCGGCAAAGGCGGCGCGTAGGTGAAGGGGCAGCGGTGGCCAGCGCAGGGGCTGCGCCTGCGCACGTCCAGCGCGGGACGACGAGGCTATGGCCAGAGCATGGCTGGCAGCAGCGGGTTTAGCAAGCGTGGACCGCGAGGAGCGGGAGGAGGGGCGTGGCAGCGCAAGCTCGCAGGCAGCCACGGGCGCGGACGCAACGAGCGCGGGGCCTAGGCACGACCACGACAAACGGCGACTAGCTGCACGGCGGAGCCGAGCTCCGGTGAGGTCGCTAGCGACGGCTACGGGGACGAAACCGCACGTGAGAAAGAGGGAAAAGGCGGGGCTTACATCGCGCCTGCAGGTGTGCAAAGATGTGCTCGGGGAAGGCTCGAGGCGGCGGTTCCCGGCGACGGCGACGACGGAGCAGAGGAGGAAGAAGGAGTCGAGGCGGGCGCTCCGGTGGCCGCGACAATGATGGAGGACGGCGGCGACCGTGGCGAAGAAGACGGTTGGTGGCGACGGTTCGAGGGCGTCCCGGCTTGATTTGGTCGCCGAGACGGACGAAGCTGGCCGCGACGGGCCTTTTGGACGTACTCCCGCACGCCAGAGATGCCGGTGGCCGTGACAACGACAGCGAGGCAAAGGTCACCGCGGGATCTTCGAGCTCTAAAACAAGAGCCAGAGAAGCGGGGAGGCGATGGGGATCGAGGGAAAAAGGAAGAAATGGGGGTTAGGGTTTTGGCGGACAAATATATAGGTCCAGGGGGGGACGTGGAGGGCATCCACGACCATGGCGCCCTGGATGTGCTCCACGCACCACTCTGCCTCCTGTAGCAAGGTGGGAGGGGACCCAGGTCGGGCTGGGCTGCAGTGTAAATGGCTGAGAGCCCATCTGTACAATAGATATAGCTCTTTTCTTTTATTACCATATGTTTTATTTCTCTAGCCTCTGTTTTGTACTTAATTCATTTAGCAAATGAGTTTTGTAAAATGTGGAGATGGACACATATTTAGTATTGCAATGTTAGGTGCTACCACCAAAAACTTAGGAGGAAGTTTGACTCAGCTTGAATTTTTCGTAAATAGAGAAGCATTCAAAAATGCTATTTTGGCATGGGTTTAAATGTTTGAGGGCATTTAATAACCTTTTAAAATATTAGTTTCAACATGACAAATATTCAGGGATTATCTACCACACTTTGAACATTTTAGTTTTAATGTTTGAGAAATTTGAATTTGAACTTAAACGGGATTGAACCATCGCGGATTTAACAACAGTAATCATGGTGACATGGCATCATTAGCAGAGGTTACTGTAGCTTAATTATCCGGGCATAACAACTGGCAGCATATACTGCTATTTTATATGATGCTTTCCAACTTGTACATAAGATGTCATCGATTCAGTTCCGTCATTGCCCTAGGAAAGTAAATAAGTTGGCACATGTTTTAACGAGTCATGCTTATGACTCAAAAGAATTAATTTGGTGGGATGTTGTTCCGCCTAATTTTCTAATACCTCATGTACTGAATGATGTAACACTCTCAAATTTGCAATAAAGTGGCAAGAGGCTTCCTTACAAAATAAAAAGCTGACTTGCAGGCCCTCCCCGGCTTTCTAGAATCTCCAAAAGCCCCTCTTCCTTTTCGCCGGATCTTCTTGTGCACATCATCGCATATCCCAAAGCAGAAAACGCAAAAGAAACAGCAATCCAAGCAATCACGCGGCTGGTGCGAAGCAGCCAAGGACCAGCGAAGGGGGAGGGAGTTGACAATGGGGCAGTGCGGATGCTTCGGGGCGGCGCAGAAGGAGCAGCGGGCGGAGGCCGACCGCCTCGAGGCGCAGGAGGCCCGCGCAAGGGCCGCCGAGGCCGCCCAGAAGAGGTAACCGCCGCCTTCTGCTCCAAGGAGCTCAAATCCTGATCCTAGTTTGTTGGTTCGAACTCTAAGGGCCGATCAGGTAGGTTTGGTTGTTGGATAGTAGTAGGAGCGAAGAATTCGGCCGTTCAACGCGGTATAATCCCGACCATGCTCCGTGTCGCCCTGGTTTCTTGGTGGGATGCCCTGATTCTTGCCGGATTGGGTTCAAGGTTTATCGGATCGGATAGGTTTCGAGACTGCCAGAGTTCACCAGGTTGGATCTAGATGTTCGTCCCTGAAGCAGTTCATGGAACCGGATGGAGTTGGCCCCTTCTTGAATCGCGGCGCACTACTCAGACATCGCCGTAACAACAATGGCCTCACTGGAGGAAACTTACAATCAGCACTTACTGATCTTTGTTTTCTGTACTACCTTGACTTCTGAAGCAATGGTTCCTATGATGACATCACTGTGGTATCTGCAATTTATCTGTCTTCAAATTTTCAGACTGCTCTATCAACCACATCGGTATGTAGACTTAGCAGATTGTGCTGCAACAAGTGTTTTTCCACTCATTGTACTTATCATAAGGCGGTTCAACCATCTCATTGAAATCTTAAGAGTAGCAATTATATGTGTCTGACCACTCCGATTCCAAGCCGCTCCGATTGTTCAAACATTCTGCTGACTAATTCCATCTTTGGCTCTTTATCTCCTCCTGGAGTTGTGATTCTGGTTTGTCACAACCTGTTTCAGAAATCATCTATTGTTTTGCTAAAATGATTGTGCTGGGTACTGCAATTAATTTCAGAAGATGTATTTCCCAGATCTGGTTCTAGATTTAAGTTGGATTGATTAGGTATAATTGGATTATCAGAATTGTGTGGTAATACAAAGATTCCATTCTCCTTGTGTACTTTATGCTTGGGAATAAAGTTCAGGATGCAGTCGTCAAGTATACATGTTCAAGATTTCTGTGTTTTTCTATCAGAAAAAACTTTATTTGGTTTTATTATGGTATAATATGCTTGTTTGTGTTGGTCAACGGTTGCTTTCGAGTCATTACTGTTGTTGTTGAAATGAATAAGTTCGTTTTTCAGGAAGTTTATGTCATGCAATATCTTGTTCTGTTTAGATCACGCACTTGCATCTCTTAACAACATCTACCAGTTCATTTGGTCTTTTAGTTTACAGACGTATTTCTTTCCAACATCTATGTGCGGTACATCAGCTTCAGACCCCCCCTCCCCCTCCCTTACCGCCATGTATTTTTTTCTTATGTTTGTATAATGATTCTTTTATAGCTTACATCAGACATGTTGGTAAGCTTCAATGGTGTCTGCTGTGAATCAAAGTCCTATTACAACTTTGGACTGTTCATACTTTATTAACTCAACCTGAAGTAGCGTGGTCACAATTTAGTTTTTTTAACCTTCAGGCAGCAGGAATATGAAAAGTCAGCTGCTGGACGAGCAGCACGAGCACATATTAAAGCTATGAAGGAGGCCAAGACATCATCAAACCAAGGAGAGCCGGTTCTGAAGGTATTTTATCATACTTGAGTAGTGACTACGTGTTTACGTTAAGCCTAAAGTTTAACCTTGTGAGATTCATTTCTCTGTTGGATACTTACCTTCTGAGCTTTCGATTGTACAGTGGCAGATGGGGTAAATCATCGTATGTGTCCTTGCAACTTTCAGCGTGTAAGTATGAATACTCACTGAATCATACCGAGGGTCTTCCATTTCCTATGTGATTGTGTTATCTGGTAATGTAAACGGATGAAAAACTGTACTGTTAAGTAGCCACCGCCTGTCTAAGTCTAAGTAGGATTGGTTTTCATTTTTCGGATGTTTAACTATTCTGAAGGAACATAAATGAACACTGCAGATAAGAAATGCATTATAATGGTCAGCGTTCCGTTCTTCATTATAATTTTCAATCTCTTTTCTTCTTATAAGGGGCCCAATATGAGGAACAGAGACCAGCTTCATTTCCGCACACTTCTTTTGTAAAGTCTGTAATGAGAAGTGCTACTGCAGTGTTTGATTTCGTGAACTGTCAGAAAGTATGAAGTGAAAATTGATGATGGGGATATAATTTAGAACAAAACTTCAATTGTGACTTCTTATTGTTTTATTCTATGATCACCATAGTTCTACTCTGGTGCACGTTATTTTGATTGGTGTTGGGCCTTGTCTTGACACTTTTCTTCCGTGCCCTTTTCAGGTTGTTGATGGTGTGTGGAAGCTTGTTTTCTTTTGATCATGCGATGCAGTTTGGTCACCTAACTCAGTTGTGATTTTTGTCAGTGAAATGTACATCCTTTTAGTCACTGCTATACACGCCTATTCAGAGAGTTATGTATTGCCCAATCTGTCTTCTAGAAGTGTGTCGCCTGTTACTGTACAATCTATAGACAGTGTTTGTCTGGCAAGGTAGGTATTTTGCTTACACTTCTTTTGTACAAAGCTACGGGAGCATGATACCTGCAACTATCCAGTGGGTTTTCTTTTTACCAAAGACCAGTCGTGTAGATGTTCTTGTTGCATTGAAAGTGCTCACTCTATGAGAAGATGGAAGAAAGGGAAGGATTATTCATGTGCAGTAAGCTAGATACAATCGTGTAGAGTGGCATTATCTTGAAGCGATCTTGCTGCAGCAAGGCTTTAGCATCAATTTTGTTCGCATCATTAAATTTTTTTGAAACCGAGGCAAAAGATTTGCCCCATGTATTAATTAAGAGAGAATATAGATTGAGTTAGGAAATACATACAATGAGATTATTCTCCCAACAACATGACCCTAATTTCTCGGCACCTGCTGTGACCCAAAACTTCATTTCGTTGATGACCATGTTAAGCAAGATCGGGGGAGGGGGTACTCTTGTGCTAGAAGACCCGAGTGTTTCTCTCGTTCCAAATCGACCAAGGCACAAGCATGGTGAAAGAAGCCATGGCCCTAAAATGATTGGCCCATATTGTGCTCAAGATGCCACAAAGATGTGTCCATGCTCATCAGTTGGAGGTTGTCAATAACCAACTTCCAGATCGTGTACCGACATTGGAAGAATATGTGATTACCGGATTCTTCTATCCTTTTGCAAAGCAGGCAAATGTCAATTTGTCCACCCTTTTTGACGAGTCTATCGGCCGTCCAAATGTGATCTTGAATTGCCAACCACAAGAACTTCACTTTTGGCGCCGCCCGAACCTTCCAAACGGCATGCTCCATTGGAGATAGGACCTATTAGAGTAAAAGGAGATTGAAAGTGAATGGACGATTAGTCCCGGTTTCTATTGATTCTCAAGTATATATATACATCTAGAAGAGATGGGAAGAAGAGGTGTCTATTCGAAAGCATCCCTCCAGAACATGTGCCTTTTGACAATATATAGAGAGAATGGGCATGACTCTTCGGGGTTGGACACACCCCTTGCTAATGACATTTTGTTAATTATTTAGTGCTAATTAATAATAGACATGTGCTAATTTATTCCAAACACTCGTGCTTGTATAACACCGCTTATTGATCGTCATTAAAGGCTTCTTGAACATCATTGAAGGTGTCTTGTATATTCGTCTTCCATCTTGAGAAATCCTTTGTAAAATCTTGAGAGTCTCCCCACAAAAACCATGTGGGGAAAATATGAGGACAATAGTGCTGATATGTTGCTAAAACTTCTTTAAACCCAGTGAAAAATAATAAGGACAAAATGATGCAGCTTATTATGATTGCTGACTCCTTGGTAATTCATATGAGAAAAACTTTGAAGAAGGATAAAACTCATTGGTGAATTTGGAGAACAATAAATATGCTTTGTATACTTTCCTTTAAAAACCCCAATGAGGAAAAAGAAAGTATTGCATATGCCGCCTCGTTAAAAACCTTTTATGAGAAACTTCGTGAGAAATCACAAAAGGGAAAAGATTGCAATCTGATATGCCGTTGAAAACTCCTTTAAAACATAGTGGGAGAAATATAAGGAAAAACTATATGACGGTTGGTGCAATATATGCCTACCTTTGTTTTGGAGATTGTTGACAGAAACATGTATGAACTGATTTGTTTGCTAGTGCATACAGAGAGAAATAGTCCATACAGAGCCGAAAAGAATGTTGTCTCCGGTGTCAAGTTCGAAGAACTTCACCAAAGTATATCTGCGTTGCAGAGAAGAAAGAGCTACATTTTGATGAAGACATGTAGACGAGAAGATTGAAGTGAAGGAATTACCTCTCAAAAATTTACTGCTGAAGCGAAGCATTTGATTTAGTATTGGCGTCCGAAGAAATTGACTACAGCAAACGGAAGTCGAAGACAAAGTGAAGACGTAGTATTCATTTTTGTTGTTCTTCTTTCGTTTATTTGAGTCATAGGACCTCCGTACTATTAAGAGGGGTATAGGTTCTCGAAGCTTAGATCCGTTGTGATGCTTAGTCAAAACCTATAAAAGTTGTGAGAGAAATATCTTTGTGTTCCGAGCAAATACTTGCCAGCAAGAGACTATGATCTTCTTCGCTGCGAGAGATTTGTCTCAGACCGAGGAGTTAGCATTACCTGTTCATAAAGTAATGTTACTTTTGGGGATATAACCCCATGGTGTAACCCGCCCTAGAGGGGCCGGGTTAGGCTGTTGGCGAATTGGGCCTTAAACAGGCCCAAGTGATATCAAGATACATGACTAGGAAGGCGACTTACGAGATGGGCCAGATAGATGCCCAAGGACAAAAGATAATGCGTGGTCCTGAAGTGTAAGCCGCCTCATGGCGACTTGCCAAAGAAGGCAAGGCGACTCAGAGCCTAGATCGGTCACGAAGCATGACCCGACCCGGACTCTTGTAAGCCCATGACCTCGACCTATGTATATAAAGGTGAGTCCCTGCGGCAGGCAGACTTAAGTTACAATTGATCGATAGCTAGGTCAAGCGAATATGCTCCCTTGTAATTGATACTCAAGCAATACAACATAAAGCAGGACATAGGATGTTACCTCGATCGTGAGGGGCCGAACCTGGGTAAACTCGTGTCTCTCGTCCTGCTACCCCGACAAGCTAATCACCGTAGCGATGGCCTCGCACCTAAGTCCTTTCACTAGGGCATCTGCCGTGACAAAACCACGACAATTGGCGCCCACCATGGGGTAGGCGCACAGTGGTTTCGAGTTCTTGAAGGGATCTTTCCCAGGTATTGAGGGATACACTGTTGGCAGGATGACCAAGAGTCGTCGCGTCAAGCTCTACATCGACGATGCTGGCTGGGGCCCCGAGGCCGACTCAATCGAGTGCGGGTATTGGGTCCCCTTCGGCAGAATCCACGTCTTCATCGGCAAGATCGGCAGGTCAGAGCCTGAGCCAGACTTCTGCACCGACATTGTTGAGTTGGCTCGGCGCACGCAACCCGCTCGGGTCCAAGTCAGGCGGAGGCATGCTTTCGTGGGCTTCACGCAAGGGATGGAGCTTGCAGACAATTCCGCGTCTGGGGGAGAGACTCTCGTCTACTCAGGTGATGAGTCCTCTACTAGAGAGACAAAGTCAATCTACCAGCTTTAGGACGACGTACTTGGGGGCTATTCCGATGGCCACAACATTTTGGACCTCTATGAGCCGCCGTGTAGGGCTGCAATCTTCATGGCTGTTACAGGGTCGACTCTTAATTCTTCAATAGCGGCTGCAGCAACCTCTGACCCGACGGCCGCAAGGATTGGTGGATCTGGTTCAGCCAGGGCGCTGGCTAAGGTGCTATTGGGTCTCATCGGCACTTTGACAGCTCTGTTGGCAACAAAGGTCACTGCGGCAAATCAGGCAGAGCGCAATGCGGAAGTTGCAAATATTCAGGAGGAGATAACCAAGTCCCAAGAGGATATCGTGGCTGAGAACATCCAAATGGCTGTGCTGAAGGCTCAGATTGATGCAGAGGCAGAGCGTGTGAAGGCAGAAGCTTGGCGCTTAAATCTAGACCAGAATGCGTCTAATGCAGTATTCCAGAGAAGGCAGCAGAGTCTCCTACCATTGACATATGACCTGAGGCGTTTGTTTGACACTCCTGGAGCAGGTCCAAGTACTCCCGATGCACGGGTGAATCCCTAGTTAAACTCGGATATGCCAGGAAGTCGGGCGGAGGCTCAACCTCGTCAGCCTGAGCTGGCACGGAGGGAAGAGTAGGCACCTAACCCGCCCCCAATCAAACACCGCCTCAACATTTTCTGATGCCACCAGGGCATTTTTCTAACCCGGTGGATAACATGTTAGCAGCAGCGACCCGACTGGTGGTGATTCCTATTGCTAGAGAGTCATCGGCTGTGGTGGAAACCCGGAACGCTGTTGACCTCTTACAGACAACCATTGCTCAGCAGGCCGCCTACTCATATAGTCATGATCATGTGCACTCAACTCCTCTCCCGGGCCACAATTACAACCGGCGTATTGAGTCGCCCGCGGTCTCCAGCAGGGAATGGCGTCAAAACCCGCCCAATCCTCGGAGTGCAGCTCAAGCACTCGTGGACAGTGCAAGGGCCCGTCGAGAGGCGGATGCAGCGAACCAAGGGGCTTATGAGCCACCCCCTATGATTCCCTTAACTTCAACTGAGGATGGGTTAAGAACTAAAAGTCTCGGAGTGCCATGTTTAGTACCGGCCCTACGCAATGAGCGCCTGCCCAAGGATTTTAAGGGT